CCAGCGTCGGTGACTAGTGTGAATAACCGATTGAGCTGTGGGTGTTTGTAGAGCGTTGTGAAATGGTCATTGCGGAAAAGAATGGACAGTGACCCCGGCTGCAACTTTGCCAGCAATTGATCGAGGCCAAAGGGACTCAACTGAGTTGCATTTTCCACATCGGTAAAGCCATGGATGGTGTGTATATCTTGCATAGTTTGTTCTTCCTGAGGCGTTAGCGAGCCTCCTTGGATGACTCGATCTTCGAGCTCCTGCATACGAAAGGGCAGAAGCTGGATATCCTCGTAAAACTGCGCTACCCGGTCCAAGGCTGCATGGGCTTCCGTAGATGGAGCGGCTACCCAGCCATGAACCAAAGGTACGCCGAATGTACTATACAACCGGATAACATCGGTCTGAAGAAAAGTGCCAAGGCTATCTTCGGACTCCTGCGCGCGTTGTGAGAATGGGCTAAATAGGGGAATGGGACAGCCTTCATACCAATGTGAGTCGTGGATTGACATTCATGCCGGTATGTAGCATAGTCAAAAAGCGACTGAGAGCCTCGATGTCCGGAAGTTCATCGTTCGGGCCCAAGCATGTCGTAAGCTCGTCAAACAATGCTTCTATCAATAACCCTAGAGAGATCTGCTCCCTAGTCTGTAAAGCCCGTACGATGGGTGGCTGAACTTCTTGCCCTGCTGCACGTAGAACAAGGGCGTTCACTAGTGCTAAGAGAGGACATGGACCGTTTTTATTCTGTATGAGAACTGGTGAGTCGCAGAGGATGCCTGTCGTGTTCGTCCAATGAACATGCCGAATGGAATAGGTCTCGGATCTTTGCTCCTGCTGGCGCTGCATTTCAGTTTCAGTTAATGGAGCCGTTAGTGGTGACTGAGCACGGGCCTCTGCAGTTGGTTCGGATGTTGTTTTCGGTCGTTCCGGTAAAGGTGGACCTGAAAGACGCTTTTGTGGCTGAGACATATTGGGAGATGAGTTCATGATTCCATATTCCGTGGGACCTAATCGGCTGGATTCTCCAATCTGCGAAGGAGGAGCATCGTTCAAGTCGATAAGAACATGAGATGAGCCCGTAGCATTGGTATCTAAAGATGCCGGGGTACTTATGCTCCTATCTGGCGAAAGTCTGCATGGCTCATGCAAATGCTGAGCAGGCTCGACTTGCGAATGTGGCGTGGGTTGCGTGGCAGTGTTAGTATGTTCATCAGCCCACGGGGACGCCTCGTCAGGCTGTTCCAAGAGCGACAAGCGTGCGGTCATCGGGATATAGCCTTCGTCTACGCGAAAACGCCGTTAGAGCTGAAGCCACGGACAGAGCGCTCTGGGTAGACCTACCTTGACCTAAGCGGACACTTGCCCCGTCCTGGGAGATCGATGATGTTTCACCATATGAAGCACGGGACTGGGGATCTTCCCACGGATTCGCCCCGGAAGGCATTCTTGGCTTGAGGAATGGGTTATTGGACTGCAGCGGCATAGAAGAATGCTGGCCCGAGTGCGGATCCCATTCAGAGTCATTCCCAGCATTTTGGTGTTGTGGCTGCTGCCACTCGTTTGTATGGGGCCTTCCATGAGCTCCGGGAGTCAAGACTGTCGGTACACGGGCGACCCTACCATTTCCTGTTGCCTGCGCACCATTCACAGCGGGTACGGTTGGCGCAGGTTGCGTTAGACCGGAGGACTCATGCGAGCCAAGGTTGAACCTCTCCACGAGCTCGTCCGCCCATGCATTCGTGGCATCACCGGGAGAGGCCCTGGTTGGAGACTTCTGCGCCTGTTCTAGAGGCATCAGGTCAAATGCCGGTGAAGTGTTGAGGTCGGGATAGAAGATGGAGTCGGGGGAAGCGGCCCGCTGAGGTTGGGGGGTGCTTTGAGCCCTTCGAGGGCGAGTAAGACGCTTTGGGGACGACGACGACAATGACTTGGAGGTTGGTGAGGATTTGGACGACAGATGGCGGGGGTCTGCAGAATCGTAGGCTTGGCCGAGACTTTGGAGACGTGGCGGAGCTCGTTTTCGCAGGACCATGAAGGCGGGTTCTTGCCGTCCAGATCTTGGGGGGGGGGGTGGAGGGACCGGCCGAGCTCACGGGCGTCAATCGATGAAACGTTGGACAAGCTTGGGGGCCAATAGGATTACAGGCAGAATGAGTATGGAAAGAAGTGAGAGGCCAGTGAACTTTAGTTGAGTTGGTGACAAAGAAACGACAGGTGCAGTCAGACACCTTCGATGCATGAATGAATGGATAGATGGATGATGGAAGGGGAAATGCCGACAGGCGTGTGGTTGGAAGCTACCGGGGGATGTATACGTAACGGGGGGCAGTAGCTCCAAGCCTCGTCACTGGCGTAGTAAACACTTCAGTCGACGACCATAATCCGGCGCATTTGGCCAGGGCTATGAAAGAGAAGGATGCAATTGAAATGCGTAAACTTGGAAGCAGCAGCTGACAGGGATAGCAACTGAGAATGAGTCGAACGAGGGTCACAGGCACCCGAATTCCCATAGATGTGGAATAGAAGGGTTAACTTACAGTCGACCTCGGATGGCTGTCAATTGGCGGTGGAGATTCCAATTACTCCAACACATACAGCCAATTACCGCAAGGGTCAGCAATTCAGCAATTCGGCTGCCTGGATCTCCTGTGCTGTCCCGGCAACGTGTATTGTATGGTAAAGTGATAAGTAAACCCTGACACAATCTCCACCTGAAGCACAGCCACTGTACCCACTGCGAAGCCACTTATCACGAGCCACTCGATGACGTCTTGGGCTGCTACGCCGGCAGGCGGAAAAACCACATTTCCCGCCCGCAGCACAGCGCTTACATAACTCCTGCATTATCACAAGCTCGTGGGGGGTCCGTGCGTTATCGCAGAAAAAAAGTGAAATGAACCCCCCAGATCAAGTAGGCTTATCAGCTAACTTAGAGGTCTAGCATTGCGACATAATTTATCTCCTCATTTGCGTGTTCGATGCGGAACGGTTGGATTTAGAATTTGATGAATTGAGAAAGCTTCCTCCCCTCCTCTTTCCTGCGTCGCCCAGCATGCATTCTTACGTGCGACCGAATCAGTTCGTCGCCTTCAAGCTCCCGTCCGATCAGACGAGGATCCAAAAGATTGTCCCTAATACGTATGCGCGCGCGCCTCGCCCCCGACCGAGCAAATGGGCTCGACTCTCCGTTCTTACACTCTTAGCTGACCGAGAGACACCTCTTTAGCCAAGTATTCCTGGGCAAATATGGAACGTTCCCCGCCAACCAAATCATTGGTCGTCCCTTCTACCTCACCTTCGACATCCACGAAACCCCCGGCGAGCCCGATAGCACCCACCTACGCATTGTCTCGGCGGCCGAGCTGCATGCGGAACACCTTATCGCCGAAGGCGAAGGCGACGGCGACGACCAAGAGCCCAGCGATGAGGCATCGACGATGCGCACCAACCGCGACACGATCGACGATCGCTCGACGCAGAAGCTGACCATCGAGGAGATCGAGGCCCTGAAGAAGGAGAGCACGGGGGCCGGCAAGGAGATCATCGCCAAGCTCCTGGAGTCACATTCGGCAATCGATCAGAAGACGGCATTCTCGCTGGCGAAATACAAGCTGCGCAAGGAGCGGAAGTACATGAAGCGGTTCACGATCATCCCCTTGGATGTCAGCTATTTGACGAACTATATGCTGCAGGACAAGGAGGCGGCGAGAACGCTGGAGATGCGCGACGAGGCGCTCGGTCTGCTGGGGTGTTGGGGCAACGTGCACCACGGAGGCAGCACCTCCTTCGACATGGAGACCGTTCTGTCCAAGCCGAATGGGCGGTACCTGGTCGTGGATGATACCGGTGGCTTGGTGGTCGCTGCTATGGCGGAGAGAATGGGGATCCTCTACCCGCATGATGGAGACTTCGATGACGAGCAGCAGGACGCTCATCAGAAAGTGCCTGCAACCGCCGGCGCTCAGGCAGAGCACGAGGAGGAGGCACAACCGACCGAGGGTGGTGCCCCGTCACGTCGGAATCGTCGCCCGCAGATGTCTGCGCAAGGCAACACCATCACCTTGCTCCATGCGAACAAGCAACCCAACATCAGTCTCCTGAAATACTTCGGTTACGAGGCCGACGACCCGAGCGACTCTCACCCTCTCTACACGAACTTCAAGACTGTCTCCTTCATGCAGCTTCTGGACCCCAACGCAGACAGCATCTACGCTCAGGAACCCACGGAGATCCCCGCCGAGGAGCTTTCCACATTCAAGTCGAGCAAGCGCAGTGCTTACCACCGCAAGCGTGGTCGGTGGATGCGGGTACGACGAACCGTCGACGAGGCTCGGGCTGGTGGTTTCGATGGCTTGGTGATCGCAACCCTGATGGACCCGAGCAGTGTGCTGAAGTACACGATCCCACTATTGGCCGGCTCGGCCCCTGTCGCCATATACTCGCCCAACATCGAGCCCCTGACAGAGGTAATGGATTTGTACTCAACCGCAAGAAAGACTGCTTTTATCAACCGAAGGCGCGAGTTGGTGGAGCAGAAGGCCACATCAGATGATTCGGTTGATGTGAAATCCGAGCTCGAGGAGGAATTCCCTCTCGACCCGACCCTGCTACTGGCACCTACCTTGGAGACATCGAGAGTTCGGGTGTGGCAGGTCCTGCCAGGGCGCTCACATCCCCTGATGTCCAGTCGGGGTGGTGCGGACGGCTTCGTTTTCCACGGAATTAAAGTTGTTCCCACGCAAGAACACATTGAGGCAGCAGGTAACCCCAGCCGCAAGAAGAGAAAGGTCGCTCGGTCAGATGAGACCCCGGCAGACAGTGGCGAGGGTGTTGATGTGGAGATGACTGTGTAAACTGTGCTGGATTGCCAATTCTCTTGTTGAACGTGTAACATAGACTCTCTACGAATTACCAAGTCGGAAAGGGTTCAATCCTTATGTGGAATCTCATGATGTTAATGTCAATTTCCGAGCAATAACCCGGGAAATCCTGTTACGGATCTGCATGACATAAACCACTTATTCCCGCCTCCCCTGCTGCAAGCTTAGACCACGGCCATGGTTAGGCGTTACCTGGTCACCTCGTCACCATAGCGAACCACGTTGATTTTCGCTTTCACAACGCTCATATTCAAATATACATATAGTAAAGTGACAATACCTCGGCCGCCGTCCTTACGGGTTCGTCACACGCTGACTGGATGGGCGCAAAATCAAAGCAATAAAACGTCTATCTTAGAAGCTCTTTCCCATGAACTTTCTCTTGGTGAAGCTGAGCCACCACTATAGAAGACTATATCAGCCAGTGTCCTCCTCGCCCACTAGCAGGGTTCAGGAAACATACCTTCGAGGGACCGACACCACCGGGGTATAATCTAGCGTGCAGGCGGATAGCGATCTCCTGTCGCACCTGAGACAGATAACTAGCAGACCAACCACATCAGCAAAATCCAAGCCAGACACTTACGCCTCGGAGTGATAAGAGAGAGACATACGATCTGAGCGTTTCGGCATCCTGACGGTCGCGAGGGGGCTCGAAAGCCTGGTTCAGAGGGAAGGCCACGTCACCAGGGATAGCAAAGTGATCGAGCGCAACATTGATCAGAGCCTAGAATGTGCCACTTGCCGTCAGCAAGTCTTTCTCCCTCTAGTCATACAACAAAGAGCAATATGGAGAAAATGGGAAAAGCTCCCTGACCTTCTCCGCATCGCGAGCAGCCATCGTCGGCTTCACCTTGCCCAAGCACTCGGTGATAAACAACGTTCCATAGATGAGCATACGGTCGGCGGGGCCATTGATCTCGAAGTTGCGGAACAGAACATTGGCCCGGAAGAGCGACAGGATCTCGTCGACACAGTCGTAAGACTCGCTGTCGGCGGGCACTTCGGTATCGGCGTTAGGCGGGAGCGGAGGGAGGGTGTATGCGGGGCCGCGAGTGCGGGTGCGGAGGGGGAGGACGGGGAAATTGCCTGTAGATCAGAAGGTGAAGTCGATGGGGGTTAGTTTATGTTGATTGGCTTTGCTGCTGCTTTCTTTGGAAGTTTCCGTGAAGTGCGCATGGGGAGAGGGGAGCGCATTCCGCCATACCTATTACGGGGACATCCCGGTCCTCGAGGAAGATGGAGTGGTAGGCCTAGACCAGTGTCAGGGGGGGAAGTGGAATGAAAATGATCATCAGCACGAGTCTCGCAAAGCTTACAGGCATGATGTGATAGTAGCAAAATAGCAATGGGTCCCCTTAGAGCCTGTCTAACGAGGGCTGGCTGTTGATGGATCAGGAGAATAGGCAGTGGGGGGGGGGTGTGAGTGAGGGGAGGGGGGAGAAGTGCTGATAGAAGGCGGTGCTGCCAGACCGGCGGGCGGGAGGTTCCTCATCGCATGTCATCACCCGCTGGCCGCCCTCAGGAGCTCCTCCTCCGCCTTGGGATTTTCCGGCCCCGAACCTCTTTACGCGCTGCGGGATTTCGACGCGTCTGGCCTTTCCCTTGTGTTTTGCTTCGGGCTTTACTCTGAGTTTCCATTTCAATTCTAGCAATCATCACTCAGCAACTCACAATCCCGATATTCGCAATGTCCGATTACGAGGATGATATGGACGTGGACGCTCCGTCCAAGAACGCGATCCAGTTCAGCTCTGATAACACCAATTCTAAATCCAAAAGACCCGCGGCAGATCTACCAATTGAGGCTCAAGACAACCTTCCCTGGTCCGTCGACCATGTTTCCGGTCTACTATAGTGCTTCTGCTCACTAATTTACTCCCAGGGTCGAAAAATACCGACCGAATACCCTCGACGATGTCTCTGGACACCAGGATATTCTAGCCACGATCAACAAGTTCGTCGAAGCCAATGTATGCAATAATACTTCCGCACATCTTCACCAGACACTCACCAAGCTTTAGCGTCTCCCCCATCTCCTTCTCTATGGCCCTCCTGGCACGGGCAAAACATCCACTATCCTCGCGCTGGCCAGACGGATATATGGCAGCAAGAACATGCGACAGATGGTCTTAGAGCTGAATGCCAGTGATGACCGTGGTATTGATGTGGTCCGTGAGCAGATCAAGACGTTTGCCAGTATGTCCACCCACCAACCACTACAGCATGGCGCTCCCAACTTACCCTACGTTTGTTAGGCACCAAGCAGATTTTCTCCATGGCACCCGCAGCTGCCTCCGGAGGCTCCTCGCTCGCCTCTTTCAAACTCATTATTCTCGATGAAGCCGATGCTATGACGGCAACCGCACAGATGGCACTTCGCCGTATTATGGAGCGGTACACCGCCAACACGCGATTCTGCATCATTGCCAACTATACGCACAAACTTTCCCCGGCTCTCCTTTCACGTTGTACCCGATTCCGATTCAGTCCATTAAAAGAGCGAGACATCCGAGTCTTGGTGGATCAGGTGATTGAGAAGGAGCAGATCAAGATTCAGCCCGAAGCAGTAGACAGCCTGGTCACGCTGAGCAAGGGTGACATGCGACGTGCCTTGAATGTCCTTCAAGCTTGCCATGCGAGCAGTATGTCTAGGCACCGATGACAGTCCCGGGGATTTTCCTTCGTACTGACCTTGTTAGGTATACCCCTTCCCATGAAGGACGCTCCTCAGGACCAGCCCCGTCCGGAGCCAGAGACGATTACGAATGAAACGATTTACGACTGCATTGCCGCGCCCCATCCCGCTGATATCGAAGAGATCATGCGAACACTTCTTAACACGAGTGATATTACCTCATGTCTCAACACGATCAATACGATCAAGACCAATAAGGGTTTAGCTCTGGCGGATATCTTGTCTGCGTTGGGCGACCAGCTGCAACGGGTAGAAGTCCCCGCACAAACCAGGATTACCTGGCTGGAAGGGCTGGCGGAGATAGAATGGAGGCTAGCGGGAGGAGGTTCTGAGACAATGCAGACAGGCGGACTGGTGGGTGTTGTACGAAATGGCTGTGAGCTGATGGACCGGTAGTCAGTCGTCCAGCACCAGCACCAGCACCACCATAAGAAGAATCCACGATGATCAAATCATTCCATACCACATAAGTCAATTGATCAGAAGAATTCTACAGGACTGTTGCTTTAATATGAGAATTACCTAACGGGCCAATAGCGCCTTGCTGACGATAAGGCGATTGACAAAATAGGTTAATGAGCGGAGTGGGGGGGAGACTCGCCATTGGGAGGAAACTTGCACTGCAGGGCTGGCCACTTTTAATCCTTTCAGGGTCTGACTCAGGGTTGGGACCCCGCAGCTGGGGTAGTCTACTCAGTAGGTACTAGGCACCTATCCTGCGCGCACATTCAACGGTACGCAGACTGAGAATAACGAAGAGAGGAAGAAACAAAAAAAGAAAGAAAGAAAGAAAGAAAGGCAATTGTGTCAGTCAATGTCGATAAGAAAACACGGGATGGAAGCCAAGCCCGCAAGCGGGGAACAGGCAAGCCAGTGGATGATTTCAACATTGGCATCAGATAAGCTCTGCTGGAATGGTTCAATGGCTTCTTTTTCACATTTCCGCGGAACAATACGAGCATTAATATATGCAGGATGGCATTTCCGGGGAGTCGTTTCTCCTATCGGCTGCAATTTGCAATTGCAATTGCACCCTAAGACAGGAAAGCAAATTGGCCAACCAATCCCGAGTTACCTGCCAAGTAGTAAGTCATGTCGTCTAGGACCCTTTCGATCTGTACAGTACTTAGGGTTTAGCTCCTGTTCCTTGGGGGTTTTTTTCCCCCCTGCGGACCCCGCCGTGGTCGAGGCGAATCAATCTCATGATAAAGTCCTGCTCCGCGGCAGACGCCGGGCTGGCTGGCCGTCAGCCGTGGTTCTTTTCTTTTATAGACTGGTCTGGCTGCTACCTTCCCCTCATTCTACTCTCCTCCTCCTCTACTCCTCCTCTCCCCTTCACTTTTACAGAGTAAGAGACCTCGTGGCAGTCAACTTTTATCATGCGGTCCTCTACCCAGCAGTCCAGTTTCATGCTTGTCTTGCTGGCCATGCCGTTGGCCCTGCCAGTATCAGCAGAGAGAATCCTCGGGGCTTATATCTTCGCTCGCCATGGAGATCGTACCGCTAAGGTGTTGAAGAACACGCAGCTGACCGATCTGGGCTACAGCGAAGTCTATCAGACAGGCAGCTACTGGCGCAGCCGGTACCTTGACTCGAACTCGTCTCTTCAGATCCAAGGGATCAACGAGAATATCGTCAAGTTGAGCCAGATCAGTGTCTCGTCACCCTCCGACGATGTGCTTCAGAATTCGGCCACGGGCTTCCTCCAGGGTGTCTACCCCCCTGTCGGCTCGTCGGCGAACCAGACCCTGGCTAATGGCAGCACTGTCGACTCTCCGCTGAACGGATATCAGCTGATTCCCATCTCTCTCACCGAGACTAATTCGAACAGTGAGGATACGGCCTGGCTGCAGAGCTCAACTGAGTGCCAGAACGCCGAGATCAGCAGCAACAACTACTATTCCTCGGCACTTTACAATTCGCTACACTCCTCCACCCAGGACTTCTATCAGTCCCTGTCCTCTTTGCTGAATGAAACCTTCTCCGACTCCCAGATGAGCTTCAAGAACGCTTACACGATCTTCGACTACCTTAACGTTGGGTACATCCACAACACCACCAATGTCCCCACTGAGGAACAGCTCCATAAGGCCCTTCTCCTTGCCAACATCGAGCAGTACAACTTGGCCTACAACTCCTCGGACACCATCCGCGCCATCGCAGGTGCAATCTTAGCCGGAGACGTGCTCACCGGTCTGAACGACACCATCTCCTCCAAGGGCAAATCCAAGTTGAACATCCAGTTCGGCTCCTACGGTACTTTCATGTCCTACTTTGGCCTTGCGCAGTTGCCCGCTGCGGACGTTGACTTCATGGGTATCCCTGACTATGCCTCCTCCATGGCATGGGAGCTGGTGACCAACTCGACGGACTCCTTCCCTTCGACCTCCGACATCAGCGTGCGCTTCGTGTTCCACAATGGAACCCTATCATCCGGCTCGCCTACCGAGTACCCGCTCTATGGCAAGTCCAGCCCTACCATCTCCTGGTCGGAGTTCTCCGAGCTCTCGAGCAAGATCGCCGTCACCTCGACCAAGCAGTGGTGCAGTGTTTGCGGCAACACCGATGGAGATTGTGCGGCCTACTCGACTAGCTCGAACACCACCACCACTACTACTTCGTCGAAGTCGGAGAGCGACGGTGGGGTCTCGAGGCCCGTGGCGGGCGTCATTGGTGCGATGGTGACTCTAGCGGTGATCCTTGGTCTGGAAGCACTGTTGCTCCTGGCTGGTGGATTCCGCATCACCAAGAAGCGCGCTCCTGTCGCTGCTGCAGCTGCCGCCGCTGATGCTGAGAAATAAGCCCATTTGTGGATCTAGATATCTAGATGCAGGATTTGCATTCTAATGAGGGACGATTTATGGTATGACAGTCGAATGGGTGATCTTCATGCAGCAATAATAGCATCCGCAGATAATGAACAAAATCATGCAAGATTGAAAGCCGATTTTCTACCTCAAGAAAACTTCCTCATTCATACCTTGAATACATCCACATGAGGCATAGAAATCCCAATCCCGCCTCTACATGTAGACCCCAGTCAGAGACTTCCGCAGCTCTGTCGAAAGTTGTCATAGTCGGCTTTTGGCTGAATTAGCAGGCCTCAACCTGAAGCATGAAAATTGAGATCAAAATGAGCCATGACCACTGCGCCTTTGTAGTATCTATAGCAAAGTCAATTAATTTAAGTACCGAAGCACTAAAGAGGGAGATTTATGAAGAAAAAGTTGGAGACAGTGGCAGTGGTTAGGGCGGAGTATAGGAGGGAGCGTGACGTGACGTGACGACGTGACGCAGCCGAAAGTTTCCCGGGAAAGCTTCAGCTTCCGCTTCATCTTGACCTTCAATTCCTATCCCAGTCAACCTCTCCCTCCGCGGCTCAACCCACTTCCCACCTCACCGCGGGGTGCAGCAAGCCCACTCACAACCAACATCCTCACCTTCCTCACACACCTACGCTATCCAACCACCACCTCATACACGCAACTCGACCCAACCGCACCATCACCATTCCCATCTACGCCAGAAATCAACCAACCCTCTCTTCAAAACCAGTCGCGCACCACCCACTCCCACTCCTAATCATTCCTACTCACCACCAGCACCCGAACCCCCCACCAAAATGTCAACACACTACAACACCGAACCCCCCGCCACCGCCACAGCAACCCTGCACACAACCCTCGGCCCAATCCACCTCTCCCTCTTCGGCACGCAAACGCCCCTCACCACGCGGAACTTCCTCCAACACGTCGCCGACAACTACTACACGGGCACGATCTTCCACCGGATCGTGCCCGGGTTCGTCATCCAGGGCGGGGACCCCACGGGCACCGGCGCAGGCGGGACGTCCATCTACGAGGAGCCCGAATTCGAGACGGACCCGGACGCGCGCGACCCCACCGAGAGGATCGTGCTGCGCGATGAGCTGCACAGCCGGCTGCGGTTCAACCGGCGCGGGCTGGTGGGGATGGCCAAGAGCGAGGACGGGACGTACGGGAGCCAGTTCTTCATCACGCTGGCGAACACGGAGCGGGAGTTGAACGGGCAGTGTACGCTCTTTGGGCGCGTGGAGGGGGAGAGTATTTTCACCGTGCTCAAAATTGCGGAGGCGGAGGTGGTGGCCGGCACGGAGAGGCCCGTGTATCCGGTCAAGGTGACGGGGTGTGAGGTCGGGGAATTGGGCAAGTTTGCGGGGAAGGTGGTTATGGGGCGGAGGGTTGCTGCTGCGCCGTCAGCAGCAGTGGCAGGAGGGGTGGAGAAGGACAAGGGGAAGGGCGCTACGAAGAAGAAGAACAAGAAGCCGAAGAAGACGCTGTTGAGTTTCGCTGGTGGGGATGGGGATGATGACGAGGAGGAGAAGGAGGAGGAGGAGGGAATTCCCGTGCGAGCGGCGAAACCGAAGTACAATGCTGCGCTGGTCACCGATGCAGCAGCAGCAGCACCCTCGTCTACGAAGAAACCACAACCAGAAAAGGAATCACCACCCCTCCGCAACAAACGACCTCCTCCACCGTCGAGCATACCATCACAACCAGCAGCAGCACAACAAACCACACGCAAACCCAGCACCCCCGACCCATCCACCCAACTCCCCCTCCCAGACCCCGAATCCCCTTCCTCCTCCCCCGAACCCAACCCAGCACCACCAGCACCACCACCCAAACAAACCAAACTCGACCGCACGAATGCCGAAATCGAAGCCGTCATGGCCTCAATGCGCCGCAGCACCACCGCCCCGATCCACGACCCTTCCACACACAAGAAATCCGCCCTGGAAGCCATGATCCCCTCCACCGCCATCCGGGGCCGCCGGCGCCCCGCCCCGGGCAGCAGCAGCACTGCCCCCGGAGCCAGCGGCGGCAGCACCAACGGAATAACAGGCTTCTCGAGCACCAACTCCGCCGACGCGCAAGCGCTAAAGATGTTCAACGCCTTCAAGGCCAAGCTCGAGAACGCCGCCTCCACCACCGCCCGCAAACACACACAAAGCAGCAACCCCAGACCCCAAACCACCACCACCACCACAACAACAGCTGAAGAAGAAGAGGAGGAAGCCCAACTATGCGACCTGCACTTCATCGCGAACTGCCAATCATGCCAATCGTGGAACGAGACCGCCGATCCCGAGAACGATGCCGATGCAGCCGCCGGCGACACCGAGAATGATGGCGGGTGGCTGACGCACCAGCTGCGGTTCGGGAAGGACACGCTGGGCAAGGATCTGAATTGGAAGAAGGAGCACCCGGAGGACGTGGATTCGTTGATGGTGATCGACCCCCGCGAGAAGGAGAGGGAGATTGTGGCGTCGGGGTCGGGGTCGGGGTCGGGGTCTTCCGGGAAACGAAGAGGAGGGTTGGAGCGGGATCGGGAGCGGGAGCGGAAGCGTGGCCGCGTGGGCGATTTGGAGTGGGAGAGGGAGAGGGAGCGGAGGCGCTAACCTTACCTTGGGTTAATTTGGTTGTATGTACAGCACTGTATGTATGTAGATCGATGGTGGGTTGATTCAGTGCTGGATCTGTACGGATATTTGGTTATTCCTTCCTATCTGTATGTTTGGCATGAAACCTAGTAGGGAATCTATAATATATGGATCTACTATCTTGGGTTTCAAGGCAAAGGGTGAACTAGATATGAGGTGGTTGCTAATGTATATGTATGTAGGTCATGGCCATGGATTCACAGATACTCTGGACCATGAACAATGACTTGTGTCTTCACGCCACAATCAGCGGCATTGATCCTCTAAGGTAGTCATTTACGATTTGTTCTGGTCGGCTTAACGGAAGTGCACATGATACTGATCGACCAGACCACACACCCACCGCTATGATAAGATATCGTTACTGTATTATGGCTCGGAAAGGAAATCTACCGATGCTGCCTGTACTCACTGCATGAGAAGATTGATCGCCAGACCTCAAAAGCAGACCGAACTAGCTAACATTTTTCTTTCTCCAAATATGAACAAGCGATCTGTTCCAGGCCATGTCCCTCCTGCTTGGGTCTTTTTGTTGGTGGGGGGTCATCACAACATAATAGATAAAAATAGATTCTAGTTTGAGGAGTTGAAGGGCACTGAGGTAGGGTGGGGGAAGGGGAAAGGGGGAGGGGAGGGGTAAGGAAGGGGAGTCAAAGGCAGTCCAGTCGGCCTTGTACCTGATACACATCGGTTGACGAAGAGAGTAAAAGATAGGAAAAGCAAAGAAAGTAAAATGCATTTTCCTCATAGACTTCGCGACTCATTTTTGTGGCGACTCCCCACGTATACGTGCACTTGCAGCCCTCGTCTATCTCGCGCCTCGTCCTTGTTTGGCAATCAAGCGTTCTCGGCGCCCAACCCCGTTAGTAGGATATCATGAAAGTCGGAAATCAAGCCTTCTTGCGCCGTTTCACGCCGCTACCGAGACCCTTACCTCCCAGAGCATCGTTGCCCGTGTCTAGCCCACCGTACTGTATGCTATCATCCACAGTGTTAGCAGGGCTGGTGGCATCGCTATCGGGCAAAGACTCAACTCTGCTAGAGTCTTTGCCGTTAGGAAGCTGCCCATCCGCCCCAATGCCGGCGTGAATGTCATTTGCGCCGTAACCGCTCCCATCGAATCCATGGTAGAATCCCGGATTGTGTGGTGCGGGGTTGGCTCCGCCGAAGAGATCATTGTCAGCGGGGAGATTGTCGAAGTCGAACAATTCGTTCGCATCCTTGATCCCACCATCGGGACCGGCGGTAACCACCGGGTCGGCCGCGGTTGTGGCTGGCACCGACACGGCCGGATCGCCATAACCTAAGCTAGCTTTATTATGTTCCAGATCTCCAATATCCGTGAAGTAGTCGTTATTGAAGATAGTATCAAGGTCAAGTGGGGGAGGGGGCGCACTGCCATCTATGCTGATTCCGGGTATGGTGCCCGTCGGGCTGAGGGGTTGTAAGAGGTTGGTCAGGTTCTGCACAGAGCGATCTTGCTCGGCCTGCATCTTGACCAGGTTGTCGATCTCCGCCCGTGTGTTGGCCAGCCGACCGGAGTAGTTGTGCGGCATTGGCGGAGGCGTCGGTGTGACCAAGGCGTTATTTGGAGACGACGCACCATTGACTCCACCGGAGCCTGTTTCATGGGCCATGAGACGAAGCATATCGGCGCGTTGGCTGGGAGTAAGTGGCGAGTTACCGCCCGAAGTCTCAAGCGATGACAGGACATTCGGGAAGTCGGCGAAACTCGTTGGCATACCGTTTCGGGCGTTGGAATTCTGAATGACTGACATGATGTCCCGCTGGGGTACATGAGATCCTGGAGGCGGTTGCGCCTCCTTTTGCCGAGGACTGTTGTCGTATACCTCCTCGACATGTCCCGGATGAGACACGCTGGCTTGCCGGCCATGACCGCGCGAGTGTGAGCGGTCATAGGTAGTGGAAGCTGGAGACAAGGTCGTTGCACGGCCCTGACGGTCTTGCCCCGGAGGAGCCTTGAGCAGGAGCTGCTGTTTTTTCAGCGACCGCGGTCCCGTTGGGCTGGTCAGGTCGGTAGGCCCTAGCGACCCGAGCGAGTAATCGTCCATGTCAACGATATTGCCTTGCTCCTGTGAGATGGCCCCAGCAAACGAATTCGCTAGGTTTTGCGGCCCTTCCTGTCCTTGCAGACTGCGATTGTAGACTGTCGCCAAGAACGTCAGAATCGCGTTGATGGAGTTCTCGTGCCTGGTGTGCTGCTCTTGAAAGTTGGCTGCCTGCGCATACAGTTGCTCGTGTTCCCTCCGTAGTTTGGTGATGGTGTTGGAGATGATTTGCTGTTGTTGGCGAATCGCTTGCAACTCTCTATACACCCCCGCGAGTTGATCCTTTGGCATGAGGCTCCCCGTAATCAAGGACAGCTGGCGGTTGCGCGATCGATCATCTCGTGCAGGTCCCAAGGCATCGTCAACGTACTCGTCATTATCATTTTCCTCGATCTCTTCCGTCTTCACCCGCACATTGCCCTTACCCACCTTGCTGCCCTGCCCAGCTGCGTTTTTAGGTTTCTGAATCAACCACAACAAATCCGGGTGACCGCGCTTGAAGTATGGATTCGCATATTCGCTGGGGCTCTTGTTCTTCCGTTCGCTGGCGCGCATGGAATTGTCAGAGAGTCCCACCTTTTTGTGGAAGCCGTACATATTCAACTGGCGAACAAAAGAAGCGTAGTTGTTGTGCTTGAATAGCTCCGGAATCAAAGTCTTCGCGAATTCATCTTCGTCCATCACGATGAAAGAATTGCCGTCATCCGACCACCGAATAAGATCGGTGTTTTTGGACTCGTCCAGAAAACTGCAGCCATGGTTAGTTACCCATTTCCGTAAGTCCAGTTGCTTTTCCGGGGGAGCGTACCTGCTCAGTTTCTGAACGAAAGGAGGGATCTGTTTTCGCTTGGCCTGAACTTCTCTCTTCGCGACCATCGCGCGCTCGTACAACTCACTGAGGCTCTCCCCCCATCCACCGGACTCGCCAGACCCACTGCCAGGGTCTGAGAAAGAGGCCGACGTCTGGTCATACCCGCGACTGCGGTTGACCAATTGAGTGGGGGTCTGGCGCCGAGCAAGCTGGCCTGAAGCTGTCACTGTGGAGGCCGGGACATCTGAGTTCGAGGTGTAGGCCGCCGGGTTGTAAGAACTCGCATCAGGGTAGGACGGGCTGGAGACGTTGGAGGACGGATTCTGGCCCCATTGTAGGAACTGGTCGTTCGACAGCTGGTTGCCGGGATTTTGAGGATAATTCGTGAGCGGGCCAAGTTGCGGGTGCACGATGGGGGATGTGCCAGGAGCTGGTCGTTTGCGGGTGATTCCTTGAGGGCTCATCACAGGCGACTGAACGACCTACAGACGGTCGGTCGGGCGGGCAAGCGGGTATTGTGGAGAGAGGAGTTTTTTTGGTCGATTCGCGTGTTCCGTCCGTCGTGCTCAGGGATGGGGCAGGATAAAAAGTCCGAGAAATAAGCGATCAGCGAGGGAGGAACGACTCGCTGCTCGGGATCTGCTGGGTGTGGGCGAATGGCGGGGGATAAGCGGGCGGGTGTTCAGCTGGCACGGCTGGCTGATTTGGGAAATCGCAAAACCAAGGACAGTCATAAACGTCGTGGGAGGGGCGAAGGTATATAATCCCAGAGCTATATCACTCACAGGATATGATAAACAAGGAACAGAGCAAGGAGGAGGAGGAGGAGTAGTGGACAAGGGTGGATGGAGAACGCAAGTGTCAATGGCGGAGACGCGACGGGCGCCGCCGCAGACGCTAGATGGAGTAGTTGCAAGAAATGAACGCGAAAGGCGGGAGTCAGGCAATAGGCGGGCGGGTATGGAATAATGAGAACAATCGTTTGCTATTGTATACTAGGATCGTCGTTTGGTTTGCAGTGTTTCGCACAGATGCAGAGAAGTGAAAGTTGTAGGGAACGATGGCAGTGCGATTGTGACAGCCTTGATAGGACTCGACCAGTTGGGTTGTAGAGGGGGAAGACACGGCGGGCGGGCGCAGGGAAAGCCAAAAGCACCCGCGCAGGGCAATAAAGTAGTAGTATACCGGTAGAGTAGGTAGGTATTCTGTTAAGAAAAAAAAAATAGAAAAAGAAGGACTGGGCTGAAACTGTCGGCTCACGACCCTCTCCTAGTTTCAAGGCTCCGCAGCAACAACAAGCTGATCCTAATGGGTCCTAATGGCGCGGTCTTGGTGGAGGTGGATTTAGAGAACAAAAAACGGCGTTTCCAGTCTTGCAAAACTCCTCCTATCGAGAAGCTTGGCGGGCGGTGATGAGGTCAATTGCTTTAACTGTGCCGACTGATTGGCGGGTGCTGCAGATAGCTGACTCAGCTGATTGTCACTTGCACGTGTCGATGGGGGTGGGCAACTGGTCAAGCTTGATTAACTTCAACTTGAGGTTGGGCTATACTGGTTAAATTAGTACCTACTGATAGTAGGTAAGAAGATATAGATATATCAGCACTGACACTCATCTTCGGGTCCGGCTCTTATCATTGAGTGCCCCAGTATCGGAGTGGGAACCCTAGGACACAGAGAAAGAAAAAAAAAATCTTGTGTTGTTCAATTGACTTGTAAACTACTACAAAGGTACAGTTTGAGGCTGTCTATACACTAGTTCGGTCGTGCCTTGGACCGGCACGCTCTCCACTTCGGCCTCATATCCAATCATCGTCTACTATCAACAGTAGTCTCGACCTTGTTCGGCCTCCAGATGGCCGTGATCCCCAGAACCATTGGCTCTCCAGATGTTTCAAGCGCCTTCGATGGAGTTCTGGCTGATCAAATTTTTGCTCCCTTGCTAAGTGACTGGGGAAGAGGACCACAAAGGGACGGAAAGCGCAAACACCAGCCAAAAGAGGGCATAGCCAAGAACAAACGGGCCAGGACCGAGATTCCGCCGTAAGTACGAGACAACCTCCACAATTTATCGCGGGTTTCCTTTTCCCTTCCCCCCCAGTGACACAACAAGGTAGAGAGGATACCTACTAGGTAGTAGTCTAAACCTTCTCATCCAATGCCGTGGCTTACTCCCCGATTGATAGTCGGAACTCTGCCAGGATTTCCTGCCACTCCTTTGGCTGCGCACCAGAAAATCGTTCGATCTTCGCGAGAGCAGCCAAATCCTCTTCCATCCGAGCCGTGTTGGTGGTCCCATCCAACACCGTGGTATACCCTAGGCCCAAAACCAGACAGTAGAGGGCTGCCGCCGGGGAGAGCTCTGCCCGCCGGGCCAATGACTGCACGGCGTTCGAATGCACGAGATCCGGGTTCGCCGTCAACGTCCAGAAGCTCTGATAGACGATGTGCTGCTCCCGACAGAAGGCCCGCAACGCGACATCATACTCCGTTTCGGCGTAGAACCGATTCTGCACCACCGACGGCTTCACCTGCGCCTGGGTGAACAGCTCTTTCAGAACGGACAGGTCGGTGTTCGAGATCCCCAGGTTGCGAATGCGGTGCGGGACGTAAGTCTCGAAGGTCTGCCAGGCCTCCAGCGTCTGCGCCATGGTGGGCAGTGGGGAATGGAGGATAAGCATATCGAGGTACGCCTCGTCCGCACTTTCCGGCGCCTCGGCCGGACGCAGATTATGCAGCGATGAACGAATCGAGGCATGGACCTGCTCGGTCACGGACGCCTGCGGATCGTAGGGCATATCCTTGGGGTCCTGGCCCCGGACGGAGGTGAATTTGGTCTGGATCTGGAACCTGGCTTAGCTACCGCGGGGGCCAATGCATCAGGATGCAGCAGGGCATGCTTGTCCAGAGGATTCAGATTCCCACCGTGTGTAATGACGGGGACTTACATGGAGATCTTTGCGCTGGATGGCGCCATCGTTGAGGGCCCGGCGAATGCCCTCTCCAACTAGATCCTCCCGATAGTGTTTTGGTTGGGCAGCTGTATCCACGGCACGGAAGCCAGTGCTCAGCGCCTGGTGAACCAGATCCGTAGTCTGGGTTTTCTTCCATGCGGTCCCATATATCAGAGTCGGTATTATTGACGGAGGGGCGTTCTGGACCGGCCGAAGGACATGGTTTTCCCAGGACATCTTGCTTATCGCAGCGCGGGCCATTGGAAAGTTGGAAGCGTAAGGTATAGGATAGTTATAAGATATGAAGTATGGAGTATACTAAGGATGTGATGTACTACTAGCAAGTCACGCACGAGGTGGAAACATGGGACTTCAAAACGCCAGGGATCATCCACATCCACTGGAATGGGATAAAATGGACAGAATGAGGGGTTGAGGGTTGTCGACGGCACATTCCGACGCAGTTTATCATCCAAAGGGGGGCAACTGACCTCATCATGACCTAGACAGCATACCAGCTTTACTCTTTTGGTGTACGTGGGAATTCATTTCCGGAAACTATCCATCTACTCCACCAGGCTTAGCTATAGTAGGCCCTGTATGGGACAAAAGGACTACTACTAGGTAGGGAACTAAGTGTGCATTTCATAGTTGGTCCCATTTCACTACTCGAGTCATGGATACTGACCAAATCCCGAACCCCGCCCGGCCCGTTTTCGTGATATTTGGCACATTCGGTGCAAAGTTCTTTTCATAGTCACACTTGAGTTATCGGCAGTTGTTGTCTTGACTGTCAGTCTTCATGCATACACATGTAGGCAACATAGTTCTCTAGTATACATATGGATGCTCTGAATGGCTTGTGGTTCGATTAACGTGTGACGCGATCTATATATAGCAAGGAGGCGGTGCAGTGCTTTTCAGGGACATCCCATGTATGCATTTTCTCCAGAATCGTTTTCTGCACCTCCGACGTTTCTCTACCCAACCTCCAACTGGCAACTGGCAATTTACCTATGTGGGATATATGAACTTGTACTGTAATGGGAATATCTTCACAAACCATCACAATGAATCTACAAGAGTTCCACACCCTAGAGTAACCATGTCCACGATTCCATCATCAACACACAACACCACTGATCCAAAGCAGCGTCTCTCTTCCTAAACACCCACCCTCCCCTCAAAAAATGCGGCCCATAATCAGTCCGGATGGGCCCTGACTCTGCATGACATACCATCGCAATTGCAAAGCCAAGAGGCCAAGCAACCACTCTCCAGCCGGGGACGGAGATCTGCCCACAAACGCCAATCTGCAGAACCATTCTCCGAACCGCAAACCGCAACCACTGCAACCACTGCAACTGCACACTACCAGGCAACCACTTTTTACGCAGTGTATATTGGCTTTGCCGAAAGTTGATCGCCGCTTCATCAGGGTCCTGCTCCTGTTTTTGATCTTCCACCCTCCTTGGCGACCGTGACTTGGGCGAGGCTGAGCAACGGTCCCATCCAGATAGCGCAGCTAGCGTCCAGCAAGAAGGTTCTCGCTTCGACGGTTTCACGCACCGGATGAATGGAGGAGGGACTTGGTCGTGACTCAAGCGAACTCGGCATCAGCATCGGCAGGGCTCTGCTCTGCTCTGCTCTGCTCTGCTCTGCTCTGCTCTGCTCTGCTCCGGAGAGGAGGGGAGGAAGCTGTAGCCTACACTTCAGAAGTAGCGATGAAGCAAATATAGAAACATCCACCCAAAAGCAAATGAGGGGGAAGGGCAGGCAAGCTTCAAGACAAAGTATAAAGATGGGCTCCATGGTCCCTCGGTCGATTAGAGTTCGATAGCAGCACCAGAACACTTCAAAACAAGCCTTGTCGTCACCATCCTCTCTCTCATATACAGCTCTCTCTCTCTCTCTCTCTCTCTTTCTCTCGCACCTCCATCCACCAAACAAAAACCACAATGCAGATCGCCCACCTCCTAGCCCTCAGCGGCCTCATGCTCGCAACCACCGCCACCGCCGGCGGGGAGCTCGACCGCAACGACGTCCCCAGCCCCTGCTGGGAGCCGTGCGGCCCCGTCGTCAACATCTCGCACGCCTGCGACGCCCAGACCGACAACGACCGCGCCGAACTCCAATGCGTCTGCGGGTGGGACCGCGCCGCCACGCTCATCCCGCTGTGCGAGGCCTGTATCGGGTATTACCGGACCCAGCAGCATCACGATCACGATCACGACGATGACCATGACGATGACAACGATGATGATGATGACAATGACCATGACCGACACGATAACGGTATGCATTACCCCTTCATGCACCTTTAAGGCAAAGTGACCCGCAGCGGAGCATCAAACTAATCTGCTGGCGCCGGGCGGCTGGGGCAGACGCATACGATATCCTGACCTCATGCTCCCTTTCAACCACCACCTGGAACCCGGCGGCTGCGACCTCGGTGCTGAGCGCGGTGAATGCGTCGATGACTGGGAGTGGGAATGCGACTGCTAGTGCTAGTGCTAGTGCTACTGGGGCGGGGGCCGCGGGTACGACTACTGCTGCTGCTGCTGGGACGGGGGGAGGTCGGGATAGTGTTAGTATCACCGGTGGTAGTAGTGGTGCGACTGGTCGGGGTGATTCGGGTACGGCGACGGGCGCTGTCTCTGCGGAGGGGGCTCGAGTCACTGATAATGCGGCGCCGGGGGTGGTGGCGGGTCATGGGGCTGCGTCTTTTGCGGCTGTTGTTGGGGTGGGGGTTCTTGCTTTGTTGTGAGGGTGAGTGGTAGGGAACTGGGGGAGTGAGGCCTTTGGAGCTGAGGGCTTGGAGGCAGAGAGGGATGGGGGTGAGCGGGAGGGAGGGTGGAAGGGGATAGGTTGGTTAGATCTATGGATGATGGACTATGAAAGTATGAGTGATGACTCTGGTAGATTGGATATAATATCATGTTGTTGGTTTGGTGTCGTTTGGGTTTGGTTAGGACTTTTGATGGGGTTTGGCTGCAGTTGTCAAGTTGTGAGAATGCTGCTGTCATTTAGTCTTTGTTTCGATGAATACGGATAAGATACTCTTAAATCAGGGATTCTGGTGCTAGCAGTATAGACTCAACGGTTGCTGAGTATTGAGGCTCAGGGATCAAGTTCTGAAGAGTCAAGGGATATAGTCACTTGCTGATAGTATTATGCATTGCTTCATGGCGCTAGCCTTGGTCATACCGCAAAGCAAGAGGAGTGAATGTTGTCGACCGTTGCTAGAAGGCCAACACTCATCAAGCGGAGGTGGCGAGCTTATCCACGATTCACCCACAGTAAGAGATCGCTACAAGAGGTGTACTGTGCAGGGCGCAAGCTGTCTCAAATAATGAACGAGATGCGATGATCGGACACCAGATCAGCGAGCTTCCCATACTACCTTCATACTCGTTTCGGAGCGAGAGTCGATGGAGTCAGATGAGAACTCCCGGGACTGAGGAAGCACATATTCTCTAAGGAGGAAAATGCCAGCAATCTCATCGATCGAAACCTACACCTACACCTCACCAGCAGCGATGACCGCTGTGCGGTATTTACAAGAGAGTGCTGCCCTTTCTGGACACTACACTACGCAAAGACAACGTCAAATATGAGAGATCTCACTCAGCCTCCGCACCCCCTCCAAAAGAATATGGGCAATCGAATCCAGCACTCCACCTTAGGGCCTTCACACTCCAGCCCACCATGATATCTGTCCAACGCCAAGCAAACCAAAAGGGAGAAAAAAAGCAAAGCGTGTAGATGTCACGAAGGTGGGCCCTACCCAACAACACTTACCGTCGACAGCGACCAAAAGACCGCACTCACGGGCTGAACGATTTCTCCCTCCCTTCCTTCTTTCCTTCCGAAATCACCACGGGAACAACCGAAATGACAGATGCTGACAGGAGGAGATGGGAAGAAAACAAACTTCCCAGTCCACGGGGTCTTTTCTGTTCGCTCCTGGCGGACGGAACGACGGAACGGAGGTCCAGTAAGGGTCCCATCTAACCCCGTAGGCATGCAGCATGGGCGATGTGACTGAGGCCGGATCAGGAAAAAGGTATCTGACCTTTCATATGTACTGCACGTACATACAGTCATGTATGGATTCCTCCGTACAGGACCAGTGGCTTCTCTTTGCATGTGTGTATGTGAGTGTGTGTTGTTGGTGCTGGAGGGCGATGGGGTCGTCAGCCCTTGCTTGGGCGAGGTCGGTCTGATCCATGGACAGTCTCGCGAATGACAGGTTGGTGATTCAGTCGGAGCGGGGGCGAGTGAAGTTGCTGTGAAATGTTGTTTTGAATCGAAAGGAGAGGGGGGGGGAGAGGAAAGGCCAAAGGGGAGAAAGGAGCGACTTATATGTCACTGGTATGGGTGTGTTCGTTGTTGGGCAGATTTCTCTGTGTGTATGCAACGTCTGAACATATTGGTAGGGTCTCTCTGTCCGTCTCCTCTTGGAAGGGGAGGGGGAATATTTCACTCAAGTGGCGACTGGCGCGAGGTCAAAATGATGGATCAGGTGGCTTACATGCTGCATTGCATTAGCTCCATTTTGCACAGACCAAAACAAAAATATGGGAGTATGGCGATTAAGAACAGAACAAGAAAAGTAACAAAAGCAGTGGAAGAAAGATGTCATCATCGTTTTAATGATCTGAGAGGATCGTAAATCGATTCCCTCACAGGGTGGTCATCGAGCTCTTGCTGGCGTCGTTGGGTACCGAATCTGCAGCTCGTCACACATTTTCTGGCGATGCGAGCCCTCCTCGACAAAGACACCAGGGAGAAAATGAATTGTTTCAGGTGAATGACATAAGTCGCAATCATGACTTCGGCGAGCCACAGCAAGAAGTGGACACGGTCAATACAATGAACCCGTCTACTTGTCCTTCCGGCCAGTCAACGGATGTTGTGAGATGATGATCTTCACCTCCCACTACCGTGTGTATGGCAGAGATTGACCTTGACGGGATATACGAGGCGCAATCCCATGCGCTTGCTTTTCCGTCTTGATTGCATCATGTTATTTCCACAGCCACGAGGCCTGGTGTCTTGTTTCGAGATACTTGAGCTGTGCGGTGACAAGTGCTGCGTGGGTGCGAGAAGCCCGTGACCACGAGGGTTTGGCCAGAAAAGGGTTGGAAGAGCTAAAAAAGAGGAATTCAGGCGGTTGATCGTAGCTACCCACTATTGTAATGAAAAGAAGAGATTCTCAATAGTAGAGACTCGACAGGTTAGTAGGGGGAGGGCGTATCCTGTGTAGATGTGACTATCCTCGGATCAACTCACCTAGCCAGTTTGATCCCCTTCTGCACCCCGCGCATACGACAGCATGGTCCTCCATAACGGAGCACATTCGGACATCGCCCTGCTGGCATTGCACTTCCTCTGCACGCTTGTTGATACTGCCAACTCGCATTCGACTATACGAAAGCGATTGGATTGCCGGAACTGGCTTGCCCCCTATCTCTGCTGCCGCGGAGGCTAAGGGCAGTCAGTCCCATAGTAATAATTATTAATCCGATGCAGCTTCCAATCAGCGATAACGATAAATCACTAGTAGGACCATAGTGTCTGAGAGACTCCATTCCAATTTCCTCCATTGGGTAGGGAAAACCGGCCCTCGGTGGACTGGGAATAGACTAAGAATATTCTATGGAAGCGCTTGCGAGTTTAGCTCACGTCGGGATCGCCCATAGAAGCTCCCCGGCAAGCTACGCCACGGGACTGGCTGGCCCTGTCCTCATGAATAAATTACCCTGAGGATTGAAGACCCCCAAGGTAAGTGCCGAAACAGGATGGGTGGTGGATTTAGTGAACGCTTCGCCGATGGAACTCTACTAGTCAGAGACGGAGACTGCCTTTTTAGTGCTCGCCTAGCGAGGGCTTTTCCCCCCGGTTCTCTCTCTCCAGCTTGATCGGGGCAAATGCCAGCCCAGTCGATTGCGGGCCACTGCATGACAATGGGGAGGATTACAGTTAGTTGAGGATCCCGTGCGCTGCTGTTGCTGCTGCTATTGCTGTTTCGAGAATGGAAAACAGGCGAGCGGGAAATCTGACATCTCCGCTTAACAGGTTCTGGTGACACTCTAGCGGGTTCTAGCTTCGGAGTGTTAAATCCCAAACCGCCAGAAAATTGGACCATTCCCCATAGCGAGCCAGAATTCGGGGACTTGCGGATCCCTATGGCGTGTGTGTGTGTGTGTGTGTGCACTGTATGGGTGTGCTTTTGTGGCCTCGCCCTTTCGGATCCTATTGCCAGGTTTCCGTAGGACCGTCAATGTGTGGGCGCCGATGGGATCGTTCCAGATCCGCTTGTTCTTTGGTCCTGAAACCTGCTGACCGAAGAACGAAAACCCGATTGCTATACCCAGAAGTCCATATGCAAGTCGCACTCCCATCGTAAAGGCTGGAGCAATGGGTTTGCGGAGATGGTTCGTCGCGCATGTCAGTTTGCACAGTACTGCACTCCGTACAGTACACTCCATGCTAGGGGAGATTCCTCCGGACTCCGGAACCCCGTAGACACTTGCGTGTCATGTAGACGAGGCAGTAAAATTTGCTTCGGCGGTGGAAAGCGATAATAATAGCACGGAAGATAATAATAACAGCGATAGTGTCTTGTCCGGAATTCTATTAGACGGATGCAGGGTAAATAGAGTCGTATGGAGTACCGCTCATCAGGGGCCGGGCTTAATCCCGATTGACAGGTAGGATTTTCGGGACTCGCTCCTCGCTAGTCGCTCCTGCGTCCAAGTGCATTGCCGGAGGCTAATTGATCCCGGCCAGCTACTTGAGTACCGTATGTTTCTCGTTCGTGTAGATTTCCTGATGATGTTGGGGTTTCGTTGAGTATCATCAGGACGAGACTCACTGACAACGGAGGTGAAGGAAGGGCCAAGCTGGCAAAGCTTGTGTGGAGAATTCCCTCCCTTTTTTTTGACTTTTGGATTTGATTGTTGTTTTTCCAAGAAGTATTGAAGCTATAGGGCATGTGTTTACCCACCGAAAGGCGGATCCCGAATCCACCGTACCTAGTCTAGCTAAGTACGGCGTTAGGGAGCAATAGGGACGCGTCGAACCGCTTGTACTTACAGTTTCCCCGAGTACAAACCGTCCAAGAAGGAACAATTTCGGAACCGTCAATGGGAATTGCCTCAAGAATTGAAGTTATCTGTGAGAGTTAGAGTTAAGGCAGCAGGATGGGCAGCGATTTATTGCTACTAGGTAATGCTTCCCCTCTCGTCCTTTGCCCTTCAACAAAAAATCTCCGATGGCGAAAGAAGGGAACGATCTTCGGCTCAATGCGTCATGTCTGATGACAGAATACAGTTCAGGTTGACAGCTCCTCTCGATGGGAAAATAATCTCCTATGCCCAAGGAAGCTAAAGAAGGCACCAAGAGTGGCTCAGAGTGGAAGGTTGAAGGATGAGGGGGCGAGGGGGGGGGGAAGGGGAGGTACGAGGCGGGGTGCTGTGT